GATGGAAACTGCTGATCTAGTTTTGGTACAGAGCGCTCCGGTCTCGTCCGCTTTCTCAGCCTCTGGTCCGACCTTGCGATATCTTAGAGCTAAATGTGAAAAACATTCCTTCCCCCACTTGTTGATGAATAGTCCTCGGAAAAAAATGTATTTGCATATACATAGCCCAAAGAGAAATGTCAGCAGTTAGATAGACTAATCAGAAGAAGGCTTTGTGTTTTTGTAAAGGTTAATTAAGAACCATCCATTTTTTTCCCTTTAAAACATTAAAGTAAAATAATGTTATTAGTGCTATTTTCCTCTCTACTCCCAGAGGGCAGATGTAAATGTTCTACCTAAATGAAGCTATTTATTTAAATCCATCTAGATTTCTTTTGAAGTTTCATACATCTTTCTCCTGCTGTATCAGCTTATGGCTACAATAATTTAATAAGTTTTTCCCAGGGTGAAATTGGGTGCCCTTTATCGATCTTACACTGAGGGGCATTCAATTACTTAATCTACGGTGGTATTTCTGGGTCTCTCAATTACGATTTTGTTATAAATGGCTTGCTAATGATGCCTGGAGTGCATAGGTTAATGGGGGCATCCCCGCCAGGGCCAGGGAACTGAACGCTTTCTATTTTGGGGCTGGATATCTGATCCCCCACGATGGTGCCGGGTTCCCGCACTTACGGTCCGCATCCCCAGGGCCCGGCATGGAGCCCCAGGCTGGCGGCAAGCTCCCTGAAATGTATACCTGAGTTCTTGGGTTTAACACCGCAATGGGAGCGCCAGGAGTCCCTGCCTAATCTGAGGCCATGGGCACCAGAACATGGGCATTCCAGACAGACGAAGTGCCAGGATCAAGTGTGGCTCAGTTTCTGAGACCCCACGACCCAAGGGGCGGGTTCTGAAGGGCTGTTCTGGGGATAGTTTGTGGCCGAGGAAAAGGCCAGGTCGGGACCATTCCTACAGCAGAGTCCCGTTAATTCGATTTTTCTTCACTGGGCTATGTTAATAGTTACACATATTGCAAAGGTCCTTTTGGAGGAATATGTAGCATGCACCCCTTTTGCTCTTGGACACACTCCAGTCCTGACTCTGGCTGTTCCAGACCCTCCCTGCAGAGTCTGGCCCCTGCCTCCCCTCCCATCGGGGTCTTCTGTCCTACCTGCCCCATAGCCCAGGGGTCTGTCTGACCTTTGCTCAGCCCCCAAAGGCTTCCATCCCCAGATTCTGTCCTTCATGGGGCGTTTACTTCTGCGTCTGGCTTTGTCGTTGTCATTCAGATGTCCCTTCCTAACCTAGGTCTTCCTGGCCATCCTGTCTCCTGCACCTGCTCCTCCGAGGTGGCTGCTCCCAGCGGGGTGGGGTGGAGGTCAGGATGCTGTCAACATCCCGCAGCCCCCAGGACGGTCCCTGCTGTTGAGGAATCGCCAGCCCTCGGGAGGCACTGAGAACCCTCACACAAATGGCCTTCTCATATCCGCTTGCCTTTTAATTTTCTTCTTAACCTCCCTCGGCATCTAGGTGACGATCTTACTCGTCTCGACTTTTCTGCTGTCTCCAGCCCCAACTGCTGGAGACATAAGCTCTAGGTGGGAAGAGGAATGCCCATTGGGGTCACACCTGCACCACCCTGGGGGTAGGACAGGGTTGGCTCTGTTCTTGCAAGGATGCCTGGCCATGGGTTCACCTGGTCACCTGACTGTTTCTAATGGATGTTACCAAGGTGTATTTTATATACTGTACACTGGCCATACGTTCGGTAAATTGAAAAAGTTAGATAGCTTAAAATTCTTTTCTCGAAGAGGGTCTCCCCTGCCCTGGGTATTTCCCCTCACCAGCAAGTTCTCCAGCCCTCCAGACCCCTCAGACTCCAGCTGGGGGTCCTGCCGTCCTGTCCCATTCCACTCCAACGCTAACCACCGGGAGTCAGGGCAGAGCCCCCCGCTTTGTGGCTCCGTCCCCCAAGGCTGCCCCCACTGCAGACACCAGCTGCAAGTTCTGGGTCCCCAGGCCACCCACACTCTGTCTGACTTGGCAGCACATTCATAGGTCCCCCTGATGTGCTCCTCAGGATTGATAATTTTCTAGAACAATGCACAGGACTCCAGAAAGTACCTTCCTTCCTATGACCAGTTTGTTATAAAGGACGCAACTTAGGAGGAGCCCACGGGGGAGACACACGGGGGAAGGGGTGCGGAGAGCGGCCCACGGCGTCCATGCCTTTCTGGGGGCCCCTCCCAGCACCTCCATTTTCACCACCTTGCAGACTCTCCGAGTCCTGTCATTTAGGGGTTTTTGTGGAGGTGCTGTTGTGTAGACATGATTAACTCTTTGACATTGATGACTAACTCAGCCTGCAGCTTCTCTCCTCCGTTTGGGGGTTGGAGAGGCCGGGCTGAAAGTTCTAAGTTTCTGATCAAGGCTCGTTCTTCCGGTGACCATCCCCATCCTGAAGCCATCGGGGCCCCCCAAGAATCAGCTCATTAGCACAAGCTCAGGCGTGTTGGAAGGGACATTATGAATAATAATCTATCACTTGGGACATTGCGAGAGTTTTTAGAAGTAGGGCGTGAGAAACAGACCAAATATTAATTTTTGTATTATGTCGCCCCCCCGCCCCAGCTTGTATGGGCTCCGGGTCCCCCAGACCTGGGTCGGCATCTTCAGCAGCGCCCTGGACACAGTGGGCCTTCGGAAGAGATCTCGTGGACAAAGGGGTGAACAGACGCATAGACGATCAATCCTAGGGCACTGAGAGTCTGTTTTTTTGAAGGCCTGTAAGTTACCTAGAATTGTCTCCCCAGTTCTCGGCTCCCCTTCTTATACTTACGCAGCAAGACGTGGGGTGGGCGGGAGCAGTCCCCCCCGCCGGGGGGACAGACACTCTGCCCACGTCCCAGCAACGTGCTGTGGACTCGGCCCACTTCTCCGTGTACCCAGAGGTTTATTTATCCACTTGGCTTGTAATGAGAAGCCTTTGTTCTCGATCAGTAATGTTTAGCCCATTCTGTTGGGTCCAGATATTGTACATTCTTGTCTCAGAGCTTCAAAGGCCATGTTTCCTTTAAAGAAGAAGAAATTAATTAGGCCTCGTTCAGCCAGAGACAGTGAGAACTCGACCCCCGCCCCGCCCCGAGACCCTGGCCGGAGCCTTGTCCTCGGCATGTGAGACAATGTTTTCTTGGCTCAGTGACGGGGTTGCCAAGTCAGGGAGCTTGCCCTTTTGTTTCTTTGGTTTGGAAGGAATGTTTGTACCCAGAGAGAAGAGGTCAGGGGTGGTTGACAAGTTCGAAGCAGAGCTTGGTGCTCCCAGGGGTGAGGGGGCGGTGGGGCCGGCTTGCTCCGCGGCCCCCACGCCTCCGCTCCTCTCAGAGCTGTCCGACCCCATCTCGGCCTTCGCTGGCCAGCAATTCTCACACTGGTCCTGCAAGACTGCAGTGAGGAATTCCCCGGCCGGTCACATGTTGGGAGTTCTGTGTCATATAGTTCTCTCCTGCGCATCCACAGGGCTTAGGAGCGGGTTAAGGGCCCTGAGAAGCCCTGTTGTAAAGAGGCCTGTAATTTCGTCCTTTTCACCTTTTCTCCCAGTGATCAAAGCTCGGATCACTTAGCGACATTGGGCAGAGCGTCCCGTGGGAGGCGCCAGAGGAAAGACTGCTTGGCTATTTCTTGGTCAGTGTGTTTGGATGGAATGTGGGCCTGTGGTCCAAGGGGAGGGAACGTTTCTCCTGGTGAACTCCGATTGGTCAGGCCATCAGCCAGAACGGGAGGCTTTGATGCAGGGTTGGTTAATTCGACTGTCTCTGGAGACAGGCTGTGCGTGCAGAGTTGGAGGTGTGGCCTTCGCCCTTGGGTGTAAGGAGGGCGCTAAGAAAAACGGTGCGATGGGGTCTCCCATTTTGGACTCCATTTCAAGTGTTCTGGGCATTCGTTGACAATTTAACAAGCATGATAGGAATAGGCATTCACGATGCTAGTATTGGTGTTACTGCCCTTTCAGGGACGCTGAAGATGTGTAGGCTTCATGCAAACTCTTTGCGTGCAGTAATTGTGTATTTTTACACAGTTGTAAGGGAGGTTCTCTTATCCTCGTTTTACTGGAGAGGAAACCAGAGCTCAGAGAGGTTATGTGGCTTGCTGAAGGTCACACAGCTAGTCAGTGTTGGTCTACTACCGCTGGAGACTGTGGGTCTCCAGTTTTGTGCTCTCTCTCTCTCTCTCTCATAACATGTACAAAGAAACATCATCTGAGTAATAATACATTTTATAACCACAGGATTCTATTAATGGATTTTTAAGAATCATGTTTTTCCCAGGATGATGAAAGTAAAAAATTATTTCAGGGTCTGAAGAGTTATGTCGCACAAGGGAATACTGCACATTGGATTTAATTGCTTAATAACTTAAAGTCAAGTGGTTTTTTATGGGATACACACTCTACTGGATACTGGAGAGGAGAATCATTGCAGTCTCTCTAAGTTTTCATTAACTTTTGCTTCCTGAGCTGATAATAAAGGTTGGCTCCGGGGAAGGGAGTATTAGTGCTGCCAGGAAGCTAGGAAACATTTTTCCTCTGCCTGCTCCCAACCTAACCATCCCCTTTGCAGCTTTTTAGTTGGCTTCAAAGCACCGATATTTCAAATTCATCTCTCAAGTTCATGGTCACTGGCCATTGCATGAACCTGAGAATGATTGCAAAGCCCTGCAACTGGCGAAACCTACTAATTTAGCTGTGTCCAGTGGAGGCATGAAAGGGTTTGAGAACTGGGCAGAATATGAGGTGTTTGAGGTGGTGCTGGCGTTGCTGGTGTTGGGGCCACGTTTTCCGGCAGAGATGGAGCCCCAAGGCCAGGCACTGAGGCCTTGAACCCTTCCTTTATGCTATGTAATTTTCTCTGACTTGTTTGTGACCCAGGAGGCTTGGCTCATTCTTAGAAGTTCTCCAATAACCCCTGGGTTATTGCTATTACCAGACAATGGAATAAAATGTTCTTTTCTTTGTCGTTTAGGTAATCTGACATCTTAAAGATTTTTCTGCCCCCGAGGAGGGCACATTTCAAGGGAACACAGGATGTGAAAGCAGGCGTCTCTATGGATGGCAGGCCAGCCCATCCCCCTCTGAGAAGACCATGACATCTGCCAATCTCCTGGGGGTTTCCCTGTTCCCCAGCGAGACTTCTACTTCATCTTGTGCCATGGGAAAAACCTGAAGGGACGGCGGGATTGCTCTCGAGTGTGTGGCTTTTCCCACGGTCACGGTGGTGCTGACAGAGCATGACATTGGGAGACCACTTCCTGCCGCCGTCTGTCAGAGTCCCACCAGGGAACACCCTTCCTCGTTCTCTCCTGCACTGGGGCCTGCTCGTTTCTGTATCTGTTGCCGGTGCCTTCACACCCCCTTCTTTAAACACAAGACGCCCTTCAAGTCTTCCAGCACGGAGTGTGTGCCCCGGAGGCCTCGCCCATGGCTCGCTGGACCAGCCGTCCAAGGCCATTACCATGAGGCACTGCATTAACTGCTGCATACAGTTGTTCCCCGACGACACGCACAGACAGCAGGCCGGCTGCCGAGCAGGCCCCCGCCCTGGTCACCAGGAGGGCCCCGTGTGCCAAGGAGAGGACAAGATAGTGTTCTGCGTAGACGGGAAGCAGATGAACTTGCTTGCTGTTCTCGAAGTGCGGGCTGAAGGGAGCGAGAGCTGGGGTGGGCTTTTGCGCTTCAGGAAGGGGAAGCGATGCAGCCTCATCTTTGGACTGATAATAATGACCGTGGTGATGGCCTCTTACATCCTTTCAGGGGCCCACCAAGAGCTTCTGATCTCCTCACCGTTCCATTATGGACCTTTCTCCAGCAACCCCGGCTGGATGGATGGCGAGAACCCGGCCGAGGCGAGGGAGCCTCACCACCAGCCCTCTGTAAATAACATTTCCTACTCGAAGGACTACCCGAGCGTTAAGTTAATCATCAGCAGCATCACAGCCCACATCGAGTTCACCACCAGACAGCTCCCAGACACAGAAGAGCTCAAAAAGCAGGAATCGCACGTGAGTAGCTAATCTCTGTTGAGCGATGGGTTGTTAAGCATTGGATGCTCCCTTTCCTGTCACCATCTTTAGGAAAAATCTCTCCGGTATAACAAGGATAATTTGACACCCTTGTGGACCAGGGTGCACTGGGAGAATGCTGTCTGTTTCCAGTGTTCACACCAAGAAGGGAATTTGTAGCACGAAAGGGTGCAGCTAGAAGGATGACCCTCCTCCTGATCCCATTGCTGGACTTCTCGTTGGAGACGTCACTGGGGTGATTAAAGCCGCTTTTGTAGATCACCATCATCCAGCTTCTACTCTGTCCTAATTAGTGTTTGGGTCTCTGATGGCCATGAAATATACAACTAGTAAAAAAGATTCCTACTGTTTAATTAGACTGTCGTACGAGTGTGCCTGTGCCAACGATAAACCATGGCAGAATGAATTTTGATCAAGCCTTTATCTTCCTTCTCTCCAAAGTTTGCTTTTATTTTGGGATGAGAAAGACTCACGGTCATTGGCTTGCCATTAGTATTTAGTGACCCGGTCTTGCTTGCCATTAGTGTTTAGTCACTGTCGGGTGATACCCCAAGTTCGACCTCGGGTGTTGAGGGTCAGAGAGGACTGTGCGGCGGTCAGAACGTGTTTGGGCTAATTTCTTCCCTCTGGGCGTCTCCCCGTTTTTTCTCTCCCGTTGCAGATGTTTTCAGTAATCCCCAGTAAATTCCTTCCGAATAGCAAGAGCCCGTGCTGGTATGAGGAGTTCACGGGCCGGAACACCACCGACCCCTACCTGACCAACTCCTACGCGCTCTACTCCAAGCGCTTCCGCTCCACCTTTGACGTGCTGCGCAAGGCCTTCTGGCGACACCTGTCCCACGCCGCCGGCAGGCACTATCGCCTGCGCTGCCTGCCCGGCTTCTACATCATTGGGCAGCCCAAGTGTGGCACCACTGACCTGTACGACCGCCTCCGGCTGCACCCCGAGGTGAAGTTCTCCGCCATCAAGGAGCCACACTGGTGGACGAGGAAGCGCTTCGGTGCGTGAGAGCGTGGTCCCCGCTGACAGGGGAGGGCCTACATCGCCCAACGCGGGTAGTCCTGGACTTCTGCCTCCATCACTCACTCCTGCCTTTTGCTCGCTGAGGTCACTGGGGTTGGGTGGGAGCCAGAGCCTGTTGTGGGCCAGGCGCTGTGCTAGGGGCCCAGGGCCACGAAGGTCAGATCACTCCTTTGCCAGAGGTCCCAGGCGGACGCCCAGCGGGCCAGAGCCCAGCCGCCCGGAGCCCAGCCGCCCTCCACCCATGGAGCACTGATGAGTGCCAGCGTGTGCGGGGCCGGGCAGGGGCAGAGCTGGCAGCGCGTCTTATCCCGGAGAGCCTGGAAGCCAGGTGCCCGGTGGATGTGGGTCCAGGGCTGTCTGCTCCCAGCTCAGCCTGTGCCACGGGCCCTGCCCTGGGAGGAGACAGTGGAAAGAAAGACTGACGCGTGGGCCAGCTTTCGCTCCCTGCTGGCTCATCCAAGGGCCCGTCAGTGTGCCGTGGAGCTGCTTTGTGTTTTGTTCTCTCGCACCTGCCCCACCTGTCTCAGGGGCTGGAGTGCAAACCACGCAGACACGATTCTCGGTGCCTCTGCTCACGGCACCCCTCTGTCCCACGGGGCTGACCGTGGACACGTGAATGCAGCCTGGTCTCTGCCCCACCCAGCCGAGCCACCCCTCGGCCCTCGGGTCACTGTCTCCTCCCTTAACCTTTTTCCTCTGCCAGGAGACAGCTGGTCACTGGAGCTCAGGGAAAACAAATGCCAAAGTCCGTGCAGGCCAGAGGGCGTTTTCCTGGTAGAGGACCAGGTTGCAGAGAAGGGGATCTTAAAAATTTTCCTTCATGCAGCCCAGGTTTAGACCAACGCTTCGTGTGTTTTCCAACAAATGTTTGACTTAAGCCTTTCGCTGTTCCTTGGAGTGGACAGAAGTATAATCGTGGTTTTTGGCGTTTGGTAGCAGCAGCCATGAGAGCCAGTGCTCTGTGACCCAGTTCCCCCTTCCCTAACAGACGGGGTTCCCCCCAGCAGGGAAGAGGGAAGCCCGGCCATGCGTCTGGAATCCGCATCCAGTGTGACCTTGAACCTCTTGTTTTGTCCATGGCCATTCTCTTACACTTCCCATTAACCTTGGTAGCTGTGCTTTAGGACAGTGTGGTTATGTGGTTAGTAAACTTGTGAGTGAAATGTACCCACTTTTAAGGCGGGGGGAAGTTGAAGCTGCACGTGGCCGATGCCAGAGTAACTCCTGAGTTCAACCCAAGCCCTGTCCAGGGGCCATCAATGCTCCGTATGGTTTGGACAGACGGGCCACTCGATCGCGTAGGCGGGAGAGCAGTTTTCAACCTTTCTCATCTCACGGTGTGGTAAGCTCATTGCTAAAATTCTGCGGCACAGCCAAAAATAGATATATTTTGCTGATCTGACAAAAAATAGGTATAATTTTGATTTGTTCACACTGGACGGCTACTGTTGTGTTGGCTGTTGTCACTTTTTAATTTGAGCCTCTGAGGGAAGCCAGGCCCGTGCCCCGGGCTGAGCAGTCAGGCGTCCCATGCAATGAGTGTCCTCACAGGGCACTGGGGCACCTCGGCACACAGGCCAAACATCGTGGGGCCGGGGGACAGGGCCTCAGGTGAAAGTGCCCTTTCCCGGCTGACGAGCTATGTCCTGGAGACCCCTGCTGACACTGCGGGGTCTCACCCTGTTCTTGTGTTAACCAGCCCCCAATTCTCCGGCCCTCCAAGCAGACACAATTCTCGTTCTTGAGCAGCTGTGACACCCTTTCAGTCACCTGTTCAGCCTAACTGTGGTGCATGTCACCCCTGAGGCTAATGGGTGAAAAGACGGCAGCAGGTCGCCTACGCCTGACGCCCATCTACCCGCTGCCCCTCCTGCTGGTGACTGGGTGGAGCCTTGGCTGCTACAGCTAGCCCTTGGGTCATTCTCGGTCCCTCCCTGGGAGGCCACCAGCCTGATGGTGGCAGCTTTGTCCCCAGTAACTCCTGCTTCTTGGTTCTTGTAGGAATCGTTCGCCTGAGAGACGGGCTGCGGGACCGCTACCCCGTGGAGGATTACCTGGACCTCTTTGACCTGGCCGCACACCAGATCCACCAAGGGCTGCAGGCCGGCTCTGCCAGAGAGCCCGGCAAGATGAGTAGAATCATGATCGGTACGGCCTCTGCAGAGCTCCCGCGGGGCGTCCCTCCTGCCCTGGCCCGGGCCCAGGCCCAGCTCTGCTCCACCTGTGGGACGTGTGCATGACACCTACCGAGCACGCACTCCCCACCTGGGTGTCACGCTTACCCTTACATAACATGTTCACTTCCCTTGCATGGTTTCTGTGAAGCAGAAACGTCAGTAGACTTTCTAATTCCACGGACACTCGAGTGCACCTGAAATGGCTTTTCTTTTTTTATGTTCCCATTTGTTTGTTTTTATTTTCATTAAGCACACATGCGTCTTTAAATGATAAGCCAATCTAAGTTTGGGTAGGGGATCCTAAGATAATGGACCCATGAGCGTGGCTTTGTGAGCCCCGGCTGCCGGAAGCCGGTGAAGTCAGAGTTGGCCCCTCCTGAGACTCTTGCCACCCTAACGCGCCCTTGCTGACTCACTGCTGTTAGGAACGTGCAGCCCAGGTCAACCTAATGCCTTTGGATGTCCGAAACGAGGGGGTTTGATGAGTACCTATTTCTTTAATTTGCAAGAATGTTTTATTAAAAGCGTATCTGCTTGCCCTTTGAGTTGGGTTCAGCTCAGGAGAAGACATCTGTGCCTCTTTGCCTCCTGAACGAGGCAATCTCATGGCCTGTGTTGCTTAAATTGGCAGGCAACCAAGTTTTAAAATTTTCCTGAAGTTAGTATATTTTGATTCTCCAAATTCAGTGCATCTGTTAGCAACTAGGAGGAATTGTATCAACTGTTTGAAAGATGGCTCTTTCAACTCTCTTGTCCAAGGTGCCTGAGCTCTGAATTATTTTTTTTTAATTTTAGCTCAAAGCCAAGTCCTGGGAGCATTTGAGATCATTTCCCTCTCTACTCCACCCCCGCAAGTGTGCACCGGCTACTACATTTTTACAAACTTGGGGTCCATACACTCCAAATGCCAAATCTAATTAATATTTGACAGTGACTCCCACCCCACACACCTCTGGGAAAGTCTCATTTTCTTATGAAAGAGCTAGAAATACACATCCTAGGACCAGGAAAGGGAGACTGAGATAATGAATGAAAAAGGCAAGCTCCAGTTTAGTTTCCTAATTTCATTCACATCTAGATTTAAAAAGGAAGGGTAAAGAACAAATGTGCTGCTCTGGTATTTACCCAAAGCGCCGGTGTCCGGCCCTGCCGGTGCCACCAACCTGTTCTGTGCCACTCGCCACACCCCTTGTTGTGGTCCTCACCTCAGTCTGCACAGATGTCAAATGGGCCTGTGGGGCCACATCAGTTCTAGGCTCCTCCCAGTCTTGAACGTGATTCAGCTGTGCTCCAGCTTCCTCCGGGCAGATCCTTGGCAGGACCATATGGTCTTCCTTCATCTTGGCCCACAGGGTCGGACAGATGGGCCCTCTCCTCGGTGGTCTGGGCTAGTGTCTGGACTCACGAAGGACTCTGGTAGCTGGGTTCTCTGGGGCCGGGGCTCCAGACACATGGTGAGGTGCCTGCCTCTGCCCTCGCAGCCCCTGCTCCACCCCGTTGGGATGCACACAGGAGGCTCTGATTGTTTACCGAATTGTCGGTCTTTGTCCAGACTGTGTGGTTTGGGAGAGGACGGCATTATCTGTCTGGTTTCCCTGATCTATCCCCAATGCCAAGTACAGAGCCGGGCATATATTAGACACCAAATGAATGCTTTATGGACAGATGGATGGATGGACAGACAGGTGGAGAGACAATAGCTTCTCTGGTTGTAGAGCCAGTTCATTTTTGAGATATGACACAGTCTGTGCCAATTTAGTTGGAGAGACTTGCCTTGTCCTAATGGTCCCTTATTCACTGTGAGTAGAATTTTCACATTGGAAATTCTACTTGTTTTTCTGTATTCTTCAGCATTTCTCATAAAAAAGAAAAAGAAAGACCAGAATAGAAACCCTCCCCCGGGTGTGGCTGCACCTCCCAAGCCCCGGAGGGCGGGCTCAGCCCCGACGCCGTGCTGCGCTCACCGCGGGTCAGCGAGGCCGAGGCCGCTGGCGCAGGCTCTTCCTGCACAAGTGACTTCGAGATGTGTCAGAGCCCCGTGCAAAGTGGAAACACGGCACATAAGGGACTGATTTTCCTTTCTTTCCCAAACTCTGAAGATTACCCTAAAAAAAAAAAGAGAGAGAGAGAGAGGTCAGGGGATTGGTTAAGGGTGCCAAGGGAGAAATGCTGAAATGTCTGTGTCCTGCCTGACCCTGTCCTCAAATATTTGATATGGTCTCCTCCATTCACGCAGAGCGTGGTAAACAGGACTGAGCACCACCTTTTGTTCCCATGGGCCGGACTGGGGGTGTGTGGCTGTGGGGGGGTGTGCTGTTGGGGGGTGCGGACACACGAGACACAGGGCCTTGGACCGAGGTCCTGGGAGGAACCCCCCCCCAACCTTCCCCTTATTCGCTTCTGGCCGCTCACCTGTGGGACTTCAAGGCCAGACTGACCCGATTGCGCCCAGTTTCCTTTTGAGCATCAGCCCCCCTGGCCACCTCTTCACCCTGATGCTTTTGGAAGAAAACCTTCCAGCACATTCTCAGTGGGCCCTTAACATGCCACCCAGCTGTGCACCACGATCCAAGTTAAATATCATGAAGTTGGGGGCCAGGTGGTAGTGGAGTGTTGTGGGCGCGCCCTGGCGAGGGGAGCCGGAGGAGGCATGCCCAGCACTGCCTGGGCCACCTTGATTTCCAGACAGAGGCCCTTGTGGAGGGGGTGTCACTGTGGCAGTGGGGGAGGGGTGGGTCTCAGCCCCTCTCAGCGTCCCAGAGACCAGGCTGCGGGCGGTAGGTGGGCCTGCTCTCGCCTCCCGGCTGAGGAAGGGGAGGGAGGCCTCAGAGCCGGTGCGCCCCAGCCCAGGCTGCCGTGGGGGAGCCCAGCACTGGGCACGGCCCATCCCCGGCGTCTCCTGTTTTCCAGGGGAGGCCAGCGCCTCCACCATGTGGGACAACAACGCCTGGACCTTCTTCTACGACAACAGCACGGGCGCCGAGCCCCCCTTCCTGACGCAGGACTTCATCCACGCCTTTCAGCCGGACGCGAAGCTGATCGTCATGCTCAGGGACCCCGTGGAGAGGTGAGCTGTTTAGAGATAGATGCGTTTTTGGTGTATTTTTGGGGGGTGGGAGGAGGAAGAAGAGGCAGTTTTCAAAGAACGGTCTTCCTTCTCAACACAAAGAAGATTGTGCCTCTCACTCTCTCTTTTTTTTTTTTTAAGTAAACAAGCTTAACTTGCAATGTTAGTGCTATTTCTTATGTAAATATTATTCTTGGGGCAATCTTCGCTGTGTCTAAACAAATTGTGGATTGCTTTCTTGGCCATTCTGACCCTGGTCCCTGGTCTTTAGCCTCTGGCCCATCTGAGCTGGGAGATGTGGGGCACTGTCAGGAAATGAGAAAGGCCCCTGGAATCTGCAGGGTTTAACCCCTTGTCTCCCGACTCGATGGGTGCCTCTGTCCTGTGGGCTCCGAGTGGGCGGGCAACAGCGTTCCTGGAGAGACCAACAGGAAGAAAAATGACGGGCAGAGCTGTGGCGTCGTAAGGACCGGGGGTGGCCCAATGTGGATGGGGCGCAGCGGACGTGATACTGAACAGTGTGGGGGTGGCCTGGCCAGTGCTGGGGGAGCGTAAATCACTGGTGACGCCTGCAGGTGACAGACTCGTCCCCAAGATGGCTGGTCCAGCTTGGGACAGCTCTGGGGGAGCCTTCTTTACATTTTGGGGCCAAGTCTGTCTTTGGAGGGTCCGTGCGTGGGGCCTATTTCTTCCCCACTGAGCTCCGCCGACCTCATCTAGTCGTTCCGAGACGGGACACCTGCCAGATACTGACCACAGTGGCCTCTGCGTCTGTATTTTCCTGGTTACCTCCTGTCAGAGGTTGAACTGTGCCCTCCAAAAAGACACGTTGAGCTTCTAGCCTCTCACCCCCCGATGTGGGAACGTGGCCTTGTTTGGAAGTCCGGTCTTCACAGATGGACTTGGTTGACATGAGGTCCCCCTGGATTAGTGTGTGGGCCCCTGACCCGGTGACTGGGGCCCTTAAGAATCAGAGGGGACATAGATGCCTGTAGGAAAGACGGCGGTGTGACGAAGGTGTGGTGTCAGACTGCAGCGATGCAGCTACAAGCCAAGGAATGCAGAGGGAGGGCCGCCGGCAGGCACCGGGAGCTGGGGGAGGGGCACGGCACAGAGCAGCTGACTGCGGCTGGGGGCCCACACGGGAGCCGCCCGGCCCACACCCGTCAGGCTCCTGGCCTTCGGAGTGGGGAGAACCAGCTCCTGCGCCAGTGAGCCACCGTTTGTGGCGCTCTGTTGCGGCGGCCCTCGGACACAAATACAGCCCTGATACCTTCCAAGGGGGCACACGTTTCTGGTCCCATGTCCTTGCCTGTGGTGACAGAAGACCTGTTGGTCGTGGGAGTTTTAGAAAATGCACTGGAAAGCTGTCTTCGAAAACACCTGTGCCCCGGCATTGCCGTCGTTTCTGCGCGCTGGACTTTCGTCCAGGCTGATGTGTGCGGTGCGTGTGGGCGCAGCCTTACCTCTCGTCCCTCACACTTCACATCGTTGCCCCCGAGGGACGTGCCTTGAAGTCCCGCCCTAGATACCCCTCCCCGAACCCGCTCCTCCTGCTGCTGTCAGTGTGGCCTGGTCAGAGGGGAGCCGGATGGTCCCCCTCCGTCTCTGCTGCGTGGTCCCCTTGGTGCCACGTCACCCGGCCTCGTCCACCTGGGCTTCCCTCTGCCCAGGTGCGTGCCTGTCCTCCAGCCTCAGGGACTCATCCTCTCTGGCTCCGCGGCAGCCCAGACCCCAGAGCAGTTCCCATATCCACCAGCCGGTTCCCATGCTTTGGAGGCCGGAGCTTGGCCCTGTGCTCATGGCGTGGGCCGGCCCCCCTTGGTCGGGAACAGTTGACACAAACCAGTGGGGCCCTTGGGTACACATGAGACAAAGCCATCAGCCTGGACAGGAAAAGCCTGATGACCCGCTGACCCCTCGCCGCCCACGGAGGTGTCCTCACAGCTGCTCCGCCCCTCCCCCAGGCCACCCCCAGCTGCGGTTCACGAGGGTGAATGTTCTCCTAGGAGTGTGCTTTCTGCTCACTTGGATGTCTTCCTGTCACGCCTAGTTCCTCATTCTGAGGAAGGTCACCAGTGCTTCAGCCTCAGAGGGTCAGGTGAAACCTGCAGCCTTTTGTCATTCATTCCCTGGGCACAGGGAGGGGCACCAGCCTGTGTCTGGCCTTGGTTCGGTGGGTGCAGCCCCGTTCTGGGCCCTGGGGAAGTGGGAGCTCAGGGCTCCCTGCGGGGGGACAGGCGTGGCTGTGGCCCTGGTGGTCTGCGGGTTCAGGAGGGAGAATGAGCTCCTGGTGGGAGGGAGGTCCGAGGCTGCTCAGGAGGAGCTGAGGCCGCGCTGGGTTTTGAAGGATGAGTAAGAGTTTGCCGATTAAACAAAGGAGGAAGGTCCAGGGGAAGAAGCATCCTGAGCAGGGAGAACGGAGAGGACAAAGGTCGAGCCTCCGGCTCTGTCCTGGAGTGTGGAGCCAGCTCTTCCGAGGGTCCCTGTCTTTCTGCAGTTCTGATTCTGCCTCTGGGGACCTGAGCACCCGACAGGTGGCCTCGGCACAGGGAGGGGCGGCCTCGGCCGAGGGTCAGACAGCTGAGTGGGAACAGCGCCTGCCCGGCCACCGTCTGCCCCCAGCCCCACATCTCCTCCCTTAAGGAGGCTCGTGGCCCACAAGATGGCCATGACGAGGAGTCATCACGTTCTCCTCTCCTCTTCTTTTACAGAACAAATACTCTATTTATACTGGGAACTGCAAGTTAAGGTTTCTTGCCTTTCTGGTCCTAGACTTCATAGAAATGCGCAGTCAGTTAAAGTGTTTACTGAGCCCCGATCACACGGTGGGCAAGCTTGGGGCTGAGCGTGCAGCCGCCGGCAAACAGCGAGGGCACCCTGGCGCCTGCCCTCTGGGAGCTGCTCGTGATCAGAGTGAGAGGTGTCCACCCTGTCGTGCCGGGTGTCCTGGGGCTGAGGGGAAGGGAGGGCGCATGGCAGCAGCCAGCGTCAGGGAGCTGGCCCCGTGGGGGTCACCTGCTGTGTTCATCATCTGCAGCTGCGGAACAAGTTGTCCAGAAACATGGCAGCTTGGAACAGTTTTCGAGGGTCAGAACCTGGCCCTGCTCTCTCGGGACCTCAAGTTCAGCATCTCGTCTCTCCTGTGGCTGCCGTCAAGGTGTCACCGGGGTTGGGTCTCATCCGAGAGCTGTATGGGGAAAGGATCAGCTTCCCACTCAGCAACCTACTCATGTGGTTGTTGGCAGAATTCAGCTCTTCGAGGGCTGTTTGAAGGGGGGCTCCGTTCTTTGCTGGCTCCTCACTGCCTTGTCCCTGGCTCTTGCCAGTAGTATGTCTATGTGCTTCCTTCCCCAAAGCCAGCCAGGGACAAAGTCCAAAGTCTCCATCCTCCACCATCTGATCACTAGAGGGACAGCCCACCCCCTTTGCCACGTTCTGTTGGTTAGAAGCAAGTGACAAGGTTCAGGCCACACTCAAGAGGAGAGTACAGGGTGTGACTTCCAGAAAGCAGGCATCCTGGGGACCTTCCTGGAAGTTCCCTGCCACCCTGGCTCCGTCCGTCCCATGCCCCCGTCCTCCAGGAACTGGGGCCTTGCAGCCAAGGGAACGCTAATCGCTAACACGGGTCTGGTGTCGGTGACTGACGGCAGCAGCTGTCCTGTTGCTCCTTAAACATTTGTAAGGATGTGTAACAATAGGAATGTCTTCTTTTTAGAAACCTGTGACTCATGGCCTACCCGAAGTCGCTGGCTCGTTTCCCGTCCCGGCCACAAAGGATGATAAATATAGGGTGTTTAGGTCGCTGTTGAAGAAACACGTACTGAAGCCCAAGTTCCCATAGTCTAATTGGGTCCTGGGCCATTAGCCACGTCAGTCAGGCCGTGACCTTGCACTTCAGCGACAGGGAGAGTCCCTGGGTTGCCTAACTGCCAGTGGGATTGGGCCAAATCGTTTATTTCCTTTTACAAAGTGGCTCAGAGTGAAGATGGGGGTGCTTCCATTTCTCAATTTAGATTCCCATTTACCCTTTAGTTCCATCATTGATCAAATGTAGAGGGTTAGAAAATGTTGGCGTTGTTGGCACAATCAAATCGGTCACTCACTCTGCAGCTTCCAGAGAAAGACGTCGGCGGTAAGTCCCCCTCTTTTTCTGGAGGAGAGAGAGGACCCGTGGGGGGGATGGAGCTCGGGGCCCACCCAGCCTTTTTCTGTGTGAGAAATAACGATGATTTAAAATGCAAGTGACGCATTCCTGGGCTAAATTACCCATTTAATGAAAAAGAAGTCCCTAATTACAAGTAGAATTTTTCATTTAATTCGATTCTTAAGTGGAGAATCATCTTCTCAATGCTTCTCCCATCAGCTTCTTGCCTGTTCATTTCTGAGACAGTCGATAGTGTTTGGCCCCACGGTTCAGCGGCTCTGACGGTCCCCGCGAAGTGTGGGGTGGGGCCGCGGCTGGGAGGCGCCCACCCCTCTGACATCGTTCACTGAAGGGACTTTGGGGGGGTTGTCATGCGCCATCTGCTAGGGGTTTTATCGCCTGTATTTTGGTTTTAATTCTGCATGTAGTCAGGATGGGATGGGCAGAAGCAGCTGCCACAGGAGCCTTTGTTTTTTCACGTTTTATGGTTTTGGTTGTGGCGATGGTTATGGTTAGGGTGATGGTGATGAGTCAGAACAGGAGGAAAACTCAGCTCAGGTAGGAGCAAGAACTTGATTTTGACCCAAATGCCTGGAGCCTTGGAACCTGGGGCATTCTTTTCTTCATCTGCTTCTATAAACTGATTTTTGACAGCCACTGGATTGTTGAAATAGCGAGTTTACGATGGTGAACAAGGAGCGAAAGGAATGAGGCCCTTGAGGACAGGCGTTCTGCAGTCGGGCATGCGGACGAAGCGTGAGGAGCAGGGGCCCTGGGCTCCTGGCTTTCACTCCATCGCAGGGTGGGTGCTGGGGTGTGGGGTGTGGGGGTGCTGCGGGTGTGGCCCCGGACC